TTTTTTTCCTTCTGTTTATTAATTGAAATAATTAACAGTGAATATGAAATTAATGAGAATATTTTTAATATGTGTAGTATTTTTTTTATTGTATTCTTATCAAAGAAAAGAATATTTGCAATCCGCTCGAGAGATGCAGATAACAAAATTTGCATGGCCTAACTTTCGCGACTCAATTATGATCATGATAAGATAATTTAATTAGCATTGTAAAAATAAAGTCGTATAAAAAATGTGCACATTTTTTTCAAGGTTTGTGGAGAAAACGAAGAGATTGACCCTTTCTTGAAATTAATTACTTTTTAATTAGCAAATTTCTTGCAATTTTCCAAAAATTTCGATTTTGGAAAAAATTTTCCCTTTTTTTTTACTTTCAAAACTTATTAAATATTTAAAAAATATAAAAATTTTCATTAATTATCAGTAAAGAATTTTTTCCGAAATTCACAATTTTGTTTTTTTTACTCTTTATTCCATTAAAAATTTTGCTCAAATCACACTCGTAATTTATCAACTAATTTAAATTTTTTAAAATTTTATATTTTTCCAAAATAACCGAAAAGTAGACGAAATTTTTTTTTTAAAATACGAATCGAGATTTATTGAGTTATATATATATAGTAATTTTGAGAAGGCACAATGATTATCACTTGGATTATATAATTAAAAATTTCCCATTAAGAAAATTGGTAAATTTACCATTAAATTTATTTTTCATATAATTACACCCTAAATTATTAGTAAAATAATTAAATTTACTAAAAGTACTCAGTAATTTTTATCGTGAGAGCGATTGTGAGCAAAATTTTCCAAGTGTCGAAACATTTTTTTTCAAATGAAAGTAATAGACCAAATATTATTTCGCAAATATTATTTTTAAATATTTTTCGAATATTTTTCAAACATTATTTTCCAAATTACATTATTTCGCAGTAATTAATTAATTTAATAAATAATCAACGTCAATCAAGCCTATCGGACGTAATGTCTCCTCACTCGATTTCTCCATTGATTTCTCTTTCGAGGTGTCTCGTAATTCTTTATCTTTTAGTTCCTTCTATGAATCAATCCACCCACAAACTTTCACGAATCAAGATTTAGACTGTTCCTAATTTCGACCAGATATTTTTTTTCCTTTTTAATAAAAGAAGAAAATACATTTTTTTGAAATTTATCGAGAGGCGTAGAAGTAAAATTAAGAAATTTCACTAAAAAAAACTATAATTTAAGCGCTTTTCTTTTTTTTACGAGAAAAATTACATATGTAATAAAAAAAAATGCTTAGTAACGATTCTCGTTTACTATTAGATAAAAAAAAATTAGTCTTTGATTGAGTATTAAAAAAGTATGAAAAAATGGAAATTTAGAACAACTTTGACTGCCGCTAATTGTAAGTAAAAGATCACATGAAACTTAAATAGAATAATTCGAGAAATATCTCAATTTTTCTTTTTTTTTCCCTCCAATAACTTTGTACACGAGTTGTAATCGATTTCTGCTTGCGCTAAAGAGAGAATATAACTTTCACGCCAACGGTATCAATAGTAATAATTTTTCATCAGCATTTAATTTTAAAAATGGTATACTTTATTGCTTCCTTTTTTTCGAAAAGTTTTTTTTTTCTCTTTAGCTCGAGATTCACAAATTGTGTTAGAAGGGAAAAAAAGTAATTTGTTCATTTTTTTATGAATCGGTATTTACATGTTTTATCTTTTTTTTAAGCTATATTTATAATATCTAGAAACATATTTACAGAGTTGACGATTTTTTTTCTGTTTTTTTTTTGTTTTCTGCTTTAAATTTTTTTGTTGTCGCGGGATCATCACAATATCGTCGAATTTTCTTAATTATTAAAAACTATTTACAGATAATACACGCGTATACGTTTTGCGATCACAATGCTTACACGAGACGAATCGATTGTTCCCTCTCAATTACCCTGTCGAGATTTTAGAAATCTTTCGATTCGTCATCGTCTTTCAGTCGTTATGGCTACGTTCACTAATAAATTGTAAATTGTTGGAACGTTCCGAGTTTCATTGAAAGCTAATAATAAAAGTCGAGTCGAAAATGAAGAGTATTTTTTTTTTGATATTATACTTTTCATTTTTGACAAATTTGGCTAAAATTTATGAAACTTTCTATTTTTTTTCATTTTTTGTCGACAGTGTCGATTGAGTGGTCGATTTTTAAATTTTTTTTTATAAAAAGAATATTAAAAAAATATCTTACTAAATTTATGATAAAAAAATAATTTATTAGACAATAATAATATTTAAAAAATTTTTTAATAGGTATAATTACAATTATTACTATAATTATATTAATTGAAAAAGAACGAAATTAAAAAAAACAATTTTTTTTATTTTTAAAACTGGAATTGACAGAATTTTTGAAAAATAAACCCAAAAATTAAAATTGAAAATTCAGGAAAATTTGAAATTACTTTTTATAAGTTTCCTTTTGAAATTCTATTTAATAAAAATCGTTGATTTTCAATCAGAATTTTTTTTTAAATTAACATGTTGTAAAAAAGAAGAAGAAAAAGAAGAAAAATAAAATTAACAATAATAATAAAATTTTGTTCATTAAAATAAAAAATTGTGAATCAAAAAATTATTAAATTTCAAAATCGGACAATCTTTGGAATTTAAATTCGAGTTTCTGATTTTTTTTACACCAGAAGGACGATTATGTAATTTAATTTATGCTTTGACTTTCATTTGCACATTGATTTTGATGGATTTTTATTTTCACTTTCATTTTCACTTTGATAGTTTTTTCTTTTTAATTTTATTTTCACTTTAACAAATATTTTTCTTTTGCAATTTCATTTCACTTTTAATTTGATAGATTTTTTCTTTCACTTTCATTTTCATTTTGATAGTTTTTTATTTTTAATTTTATTTTTACTTCAGCAAATTTTTTTAATTTTATTTTCACATTCATTTTGATAGATTTTTATTTCCACTTTGATAGGTTTTTATTTTCAATTTTATTTTCACTTTAACAATTTTTTTTCTCTTCTTTTTCATTTTCACTTTCGTTTTCACTTTGATAGGTTTTTATTTGCAATTTTATTTTCACTTTAACAATTTTTTTCCTTTTTTATTTCATTTTCACTTTCATTTTCACTTTGATAGGTTTTTATTTTCAATTTCATAAGTTTTTATAAAATCTATCAAAGTGAAAATAAAAATCACTCAAAGTTCAAATGAAAGAGAAAATAAAAATCTGTCTAAATTATAGTATTAATAAGAGTGGAAATAAGAATAAAAAGTTGTTAAAGTTAAAGTGAACATAAATATAAAAATTTATGAAAATTGAAGTGAAAGTGAAAATGAAAGTAAAAATAAAAATGGAACTGAAAGTGGAAGTGAAAATGACAATGGAAATGAAAATAAAAGTGAAAATGAATTTAATTACATAATCGACTTTCAGGAAAAGAATTTTCATAACAATATTTATAATAAAAAGAAAACGAAAACAGTTAAAAATAATCAAAAATTGTTAACTATTTTTAATCCCGAAGTTTTTTCAAAATTTTATTCTTATCTCAAAATTCTTTTTTTCAACTAATTTTTTAGTTACAAATTTGTAGAATTTTTTTTCACCTGAAAATTCTTCTTTCATTTAATTTTTCTATTTAAAAATTTTTAGAGAATAGAAAGTAATTTCAAAATTGTGAGAAGATTATTTTTTTTTAAATAATTAAACGTAAAATAATAAAAATAATATTTAAAAAATGAATAATTCTTTTGTAAATAAAAAATTATTAATTTTTCAGAGTCAAATCAATAAAATAAGAAGAAGAAGTAGAAGAAGAATAAGAATAAGAACAGAATTAAGAATAATAAGAATAGCAAAATAAAAAAAGTGAAATTAAAAAGAAATGAAATAAGAATAGTAATAAAAAAAATAAAAAAGTGAAATTAAAAAGAAATGAAATACTTCCGAAATAAAAAAAATACCAAAATAGTATTTAAAACGATAAAAAAATTAATAAAAAGCTTCATTTCTTTTTTTCCCATTAACCCCTTCGCAGTCTAGTTGAAAATCGCTTGTGGTCCAAAAACGGTCCGAAAAAAAAGTTTACAAAAAAATATGATTTAATCATATATAAGGTTTTTGGGGTCGCTGAATTCGAATTTGAGGTTAATTTTTGAAAATTCAAAATGGCGGATCCAATATGGCGACCAAATATGGTGGATAATTTTAAAATTAAAGCGTTTTAAGGGAAATTCATTTCTCGGGGGTTTTCGAGGTCGCTGAATCCAAATCTGAAGTCAGATTTAAAAAATTCAAAATGGCGGACCCAAAATGTCGACTTCAAAAAAAAATTTTTTTTCAGATTCCCTTAAAACTCGTTACTCGGGGGTTTTCGGGGTCTCTAATTACAAATATGATGTCAGATTTTCAAAATTCAAAATGGCGGATCCAATATGGCGGATGATTTCAAGATTGATGCGAAAAAAATATGAAGTTACCTCAAAAACCCCTGAGTAAACATTTTAGACAAATTTGTCAACATTCAAAAAATTTGATCGACATATTGAATCCAAAATTTAGCATTTAGAAAAACGAACATCAAATTCGAATTCAGCGACCCCAAAAAACCCCGGGAACGGAATTTCGATCAAAACGCATAAATTTTGAAATTATCCGCCATATTGGATCCAACATTTTGAATTTTGTAAAACGAACATCAAATTCAAATTCAGCGACCCCAAAAACCCCCGAGAAACGAATTTTAATCGAATCGCATCAATCTTGAAATTATCCGCCATATTGGATCCGCCATTTTGAATTTTAAAAATCTGACATCATATTTGTAATCAGAGACCCCGAAAACCCCCCAAGTAACGAGTTTAAAGCGAATTTGAAATTTTTTTATTTTTCGAAGTCAACATTTTGGGTCCGCCATTTTGAATTTTTTAAATCTGACTTCAGATTCGGATTCAGCGACCCCAAAAACAGTAGTATGTACTTCGCTACTAAAATCAAATCATGTTTAGTATTTTTTTTTTGAGATGGCCATATATGGCCACAGACGCAAAGGTGGCACGACTTTTCGTGGCCATATATGGGCCATGGACTGTTAAGGGGTTAAAAAAAAAGTTTCGAATAAAATGGAACTTACCCCTCGACACTGTCGCTGAGACGAAAGTCGATAAGTCGTCGTCACCAAAATAAAAAAAATGGAGCTTATTGGCGCTATATTTTTGTAATATTATGGAAGATATAAATCGATTTACATTTATACAACGCCCTTTGACATCATTCGTACAGTATTCTTTAGAGCTTGCCTCTTATTGCAGAACCAAATCCTTATTACTTCCCTTTCGTAGCCCAGCTGATGCGCGAGCGTCGTGATCTCGTTTCCTGGGAACAAAGTTTAATTAAGTCAGTCGGCAGTTCATTGACGGTAGAATGAGAGGAGTATATATGCTATTTTAATGAGCTTTCGTCGTCGGAATCGCGCGGTTTGCAAGTTATTAAATTTTAATTAATATTATAATAGAGGTCATAATTAAATATGTGTGAATTTGCATCAGGCGATAGGATACTGCCAACAGAATGTAATTGTTTAACTTCAAACTTACAGGGCTGACTGCAGCAACCAAATTTATTGATTACTCAATCAAGATTATTTATGCGATAAATAAATTAGTCAATGTCAGCCCATGATAAGTAGATTATTTAGACTCGATTTAAATTCATTTTGTATATATTAATAATGCTGTTTTGTGTAATTCTCTATATTTATATGTATATATTAAATCTATCTACGTGTATCATAACTACTTATGTGTATCATATCTATAAACGCCAATTTTAACTATATAATTAATTTATTCCTCAATATAATAAATACACATTTGTTTCTTTGACACAGTTCAATTTTCCTAATGTTACATTGAAAATAAAAATTTATTTGATTAAAATAATCGATTACTTGTTTATTATCAAAATAAGTATTTACTTGATTCAAATAATTTTTATTTCATTCAAATAAATCATATTTGAACCATTGAATTTCAGAATTTAAAGCAAATACAATTGAATTGACTGAAATTAAAATTATTTGATACAATAAAAAATAATTTTGATAATAGACAAGTAATCGTTTATTTTAATCAAATAAATTTGTTTCTAATTTTGCACTGAAAATAAAAATTTATTTGATTAAAATAATCGATTAATTGTCTATTATGAAATAAATATTTACTTGATTCAAATAATTTTTATTACATTCAAATAAATCATATTTGAACCAATAATTTCAGAATTTGAAGCAAATATAATTGAATTGACTGAAATTAAAATTATTTGATACAATAAAAAATTATTTTGATAATAGACAAGTAATCGTTTATTTGAGTCAAATAAATTTGTTTAATGTGTTTAATCCTTTCTTAATAACAGAAAAAAAATCGTTTATTTGAATTAAATAAATTTGTCTCCAGTGTAATAGTAGGAAAATTTAACTGTGGGAAAGAAAAAGTTTGTATTTTATCATTGGAGACAAGATTTTTTTTTGAAAAATTTGCAATAATAAATTATTTATTTTATTCCCTGTTCATTAATTATTGTTATCCATTTCTCGTGCAGTTGACGAAAATAAACTATTATAAATTATTTCTATTATGTTTATTATTTATTTATATCTACTTATTCATAATGAGAATTTATTATTTATTATATTATTTATTTTCGAACTTATCATTTAATTTATTTACTTATTTATTTATTTTTGAAATTTATCTATAATTAATTTTACCATTCGATTAGCTTTATAATTCATGAGCTTTTGAGAAAAGTTAAAATTATATGTTATAAGACAAATTTAAACTTTGTAATTGAATTTTTTATTTAAACAAAGAAAAACTTTCAATCAAAATACATTTATTATTATAATTTATTATTGTAATTAATAAATAATTATTACACGACAAAAATCTTCACCTGGAACAGCAAAATCTTTCAAAGTGAAAATAAAAATCTATTAAAGCGTAAATGAAAATGAAAATAAGAATCTTTTAATATGATAGTAAAAATAAAAGTAAAAATAAAAATCTATCAAAACTAAAATGAAAGTGAAAATGCAAATCTGTCAGAATTAAAATGAAAGTGAAAATGAAAGTCAAAGCAAAAATGAAATTACTTAATCGACTTCCAGGTAAAAATTTTGTAATAATTATTGTAATTGTAATTACAATTATTATTATTATTATTATTATTATTATTATTATTATTATTATTATTATTATTACTATTATGTTATATTTTTTACTATTTTCATTATTTTTACTAATGTTATTGTTAATTTTATTGAATTATAATTATAATACTATTACAAGTTTTCAATAATATTTCTTTGTGTTATTTTTTTGGGGGTTTTTCAAAATATTTTCTACATTTATTTTTCTAAAATGTAATTCTTACCATTTGGATGAGTATTTCTGCCAAAATGAGCGTTTAACAATTCTAGAGCTTGGGGTGTAAAGGAAGTGCGTCGTTTTCTTTTTTTGCTCGGCTCAACTCCAATGAAATCCATGAGGTGATTGGTACCGCTTTTGCTCCTATAATCAAGGGAACAAATCTCATTCCAAATTCTGTACTTCATTTTTAAATTGAATAAATAAATTTTGAAGCGAGATTTAAATTTTTTTTTCAATCAATCAATCAAATTATTAATAAATTCGAAATTTTTGAGAATGAATTAATTAATTATTCCTAAATTTTAATTAATTCCTATTTATATTTGGTAGTTTTCACTAATTCTTTAATTTAAATTTTATTAGCTCTAATATTTAGTAGTTTTTATCAATTCTTACATTTGGTAATTTTAATAATTTTTCTAAGTAAATTATAAAATTAAATATTTTTACTGAGCCCATTACTTTTCTGAAGAAATATTTTTCACCTCTTAAAGAACAAGGTTAACAGTTACGTATTTAGAAACTTTTTTCGATTATTAGTAATTATTAATTATTAATAAGGTGAAGGAATTACTAATAAGAAATTAGTAAGGGAAGAGATTAAATTAACAAATTAATATTTTTTCAAATTTGAATTCAAAATTTTTGTCAATTTCAACTTTTTGGTTTCTTGGATCACTTAAAGAATTAGTCGACTGGAAGAAATATTTAACTTCCGAAGAATTTTTTCCTCACGTAAATTCTATTCGGATTTAATTTTTTTCAAACTCTCTACTTCTTTCAAATTCTTTATAAAAATTTTAATTAAAACTATTAATTAATTGTTAATTATTAATTTAAATAAAAAATAAATTTTTAAACATTTGATAAAAAATATGTTTTTTCTCGTTGAAAATAAATAAACCAAAAAAAAAAAACATTTTCGAAATTTTTATGAAGAATATGTTTTTTTTCCTCCTATCGAAAGGGGAGGAACATATAATCTTTAATCCTGCAAAGTGTCGAGAGTCTGTTGTTTTTGGCAAAACGGTAAATATATAATGCATTGTTGGTGTAGTGTTTTATTTTTTCGTTCGTTTTTTTTTCGGGAGGTGGAGATCGTCGTTTGCCGGTTAAAATTTATGTTTTTAATTTAACTCTGAATGACCAACTGTCGAGCGACATTCGAGGACGTGCGGGAGGGTTTTGGCGAAGGGTAACGACTATACAGGGAGGAGAGGAGAGGGGGAAATAGCACGAAACAAAATTAGCATCGCGCGGTGATATTTCGTCGAATTCGCGAAAACAATATGCTAATGGAGAGAAGCGAGAAACCAGTAGTATAGCAAAGTACCGATTGCCTGTAAATAAAGGTGGTTCTTCTCATTACAGAAAAAAATCCGGCTTTTAATTTTTTTTTTCAATTTTTTTTCTTATCATACACAATTTTTGGTTTTTTAATCTTTTTGGAACTTTTTAAAGTTTTAGGCAAAATAAAAAAAACAAAATATTGTGTTATATTAGTTTCCAAACTAATGAGTAGTTTTTTCTGTACTAATTAGTTTTTCTTACTAATAATTAGTTATGCGTTTGCTAATAATTATATTTTTCTACTAGTAATTCATTTTCCCTATTAATAATTAATTAGTTATTTACAAATAATTATTTTTCCCTACTAATAATCAGTTTTTTCTGTTGTACTTATTTTTTTTTCTAATAATTAGTTATCTATTTACTTATAATTAGTTTTTCCTACTAGTAATTCGTTTTCCCTACTAATAATTAGTTTTCTTTACTAATAATTAGTTAATTATTTACGAATTATAAGTTTTTTTTACTAATAATTAGTTTTTTCTACTAGGAATTATTTTTGCCTAATATTAATTAGCTTTTACTACCAATAAATAGTTATTTACTTACTAATAATTTTTTTTAATTAATTTTTTTCTACTAATTATTAGTTATATAGTTTTTTGACTAACAAATCAATTTTTCCTACTACTACTTAATTACTTGTTTTTTACTAATAATTAGTTATTGTACAGTTTTGTTTACTAATAGTAAAATTTTTCCTGCTAGTAATTAGTTTTTTAATAATTACTTCAATTTCCCTACTGCTAATTAGTTAATTTTTTACTAATAATTATTTTTTTTATACTAATAATTAGTTTTTTGTATTAGTAATTAGCTTTCACTACCAATAAATGATTATTTATTTACTAATAATTAGTTATTTTTTACTGTTTATTAGTTATTATACATTTTTTTTATTAACAATAAAATTTCCTTTACTAACAATTAATTACTTATTTTCTACTAATAATTGGATATTGTTTAGATTTTTTAAGAATAGTAAAATGTTGTTCTGCTAGTAATTAGTTTCTTTTGCAGTAATTAATTTCTCCTACTAATAATTAGTTATTATAGTTTTTTTTACCGTTAGTAAAAGTTTTTCTTACTAGTAATTTATTTTTCCTACAGTTACTTTTTTCTTTAGTAATTAACATCTCCTACTAATTTAGCTAATTATTTACGAATAAGTTTTGTCTACAATGAATTTTATTAACATTTTTTTCAATTATTGAATTCTTTCGAAAAAATATAATTAAAATTGTATTGAAAATAATTTAATTCTTGGCAAGATTTTTATTAAAATTCTTTAAAATAATTGAATTGTTTTGAAGAATTTATTTCAATTTTCTTGAGAATAATGGAGTTTATTTTTTCATAATTTTTATTAAAAATTTTGAAAGTAATTGAATATTGTGAAGTTTTTCTTTTAAATTTTTCGTGTTTATCATTAATTGTAATTAATAATTTTCCAATTAAATAATATTAAAATTATTCATAAAAAATTTAATTATTTTAAACAATTTTATTAGAGTTTTTGTAAATAATTACATGTTTTTAAAAATAATTTCATTAAAATTCGTAAAAATAATGTAATTTTTTTTTACTAATTTTAATTGAAAACTTTGAAAATAATTGAATTCATCAAAATAATTGAATTGTTTCGAAGAATTTTATCTGAATGTTTGAAAATAATTAAGATTTTTTTAAGAAAATTTTTTAAAAATTTTGTCAAAAATCAAATATCAATTAAAAAATCAAAAATCTATTTTCAAATCAAAATTTTGTCAAAAAAATATTTGAATTTATATTAAAATTCTTGAAAATAATTGAATTTAATTAATGTTTTTTTAAAAATAATTGTATTCTTTTGGTAAATTTTATTAAAATTTTATTTAAAAATAATTGAATTGCTGTAAAAAATATTATTATTTATGAGAATAATATTGCAAGGTAGACAATTTATTTGATTTATTTATTATTTTTATTTATTTGTTTATTTGATTCAAAGAAATGTTTTTTTTAGTCTAGTATTATCATTATTAGTATTTGTTATGAATTTTCGCGAAACGAGGATCACTTTATCGGGTGAAGAGGAGAGATAATGTGAAGATGAAGATTGAGACGACAGGACACTTTTGGAGGGATAAAGATGGCAATGGAGAAGAGGATAAGGGAAAAGTGAATAAGAGAGTGGAGAAGCGGTGAAGTTTTAGAGGAATGGGGGATGATGGCGAAGGGGTGAGGAGAGAAGGAAAGTGTGAGTGGGGTAAGGGGGGGGGGTAAAAGGTAGTACTGAAAATGGTGCTAGAGAAGGTGAAGTGGAGAGTAAAGAGGGTACATCAGAAACCTGATTTTAATTAGTCCACAGTTTAATTACTCGGCAGATAAATCGTGCACGTGCACCGCATAAACCAGCCGCTTTCATTTTTCCGCCGCGCGCCACCTCACCAAGTATAGGTAAGCAAATAGGTATTTGTATGTGTGTGTGTGTGTATATATATTCATCTGTTTATGTATAAATACACAATTTTCTGTTTGAATGTGTCTTGCGCGCGTCGCGATTCAAGCAATTGTACGACCCACGTGCTTTAACAGGTAGGTCGCACTTGATTCCACGGTCTTAAAGTATAATCCAAGATTTCCTCTTCACTATATACCTATACTATTGACCCTACTGATGCTCTTGTTTCCACTGATTCGAAAATGGAAACGTTTCATGATTTCCATTTGCAAATTTATGGATTCACGATAAAGATTAATTCCACTCTCTAATTAATTAATTATTAATTAATAATAATAAAATAGTTATAAAGTATAATAAAGTTAGTTGTTGTTTGCTTTTTTGTTTATTAACTTTTTTATAATTCTTCTTTTCAAACATTTTCAATTTTTAAAATTAATGTATGTAATGGAATTTTTTCGAGAAATTCATTAAAATTTTAGATAAAAATTGAATTTTTGCAAAATGTTTTACAATTTAAAAAAAATTGAATTCTTCCAAAGAATTCAATTAAAATTGCTTTAAAAATCATTGAATTTTTGTGAAGATTTTACAAATTAAAAAAATAATTGAATTGTTTAGAAGGATTTTACTATTTATAAAAATAATTGAAATGTTTCGAAGAATTTATTAAAATTTTAAGAAATAATTAAATTTTTATAAAGAATTTTATACAAATATTTGAAATTAATGAAATTTTTTCGAGAAATTCAATTAAAGTTGTTTTGAAAATAATTGAATTATTTTTAGAGAATTTTAAATTCTTGTTGAAATTAAATTAAATTCTTTTAAAATAATAAAATTCATTCGTGTAATTTTATTTAAATTAGATTAAAAATAATTTAATTCCTGCAAATAATTTTAGTATTTATAAAAACAGTTGAATTGTTTCGAAGAATTTATTAAAATTTTAAGAAATAATTGAAATTTATGGAAAGATTTAAAAATATTTGAATTCACCCGAGGAATTCAATTAAAATTGTTTTGCAAATAATTGAATTACTGCAAAGAATTTTACTAATTATAAAATTATTTGAATTCCTGCGAATAATTTTAGTATTTATAAAAATAATTGAATTTTTGCGAAGAATTCATTAAAATTTTAGAAAATAAATGAATTTTATGTTAGTATTTGAAAATTCTAATTCTTTCGATAAATTCTATTAAAATTGTTTTGAAAATAATTAAATTCTTTCGTGTAATTTTATTTAAATTAGATTAAAAATAATTTAATTTCTGCAAAGAATTTTAGTACCTATTTATAAAAATAGTTGAATTGTTTCGAAGAATTTATTAAAAATTTTAGGAAATAATTGAAATTTATGGAAATATTTCAAAATATTTATTGTATTCATCCGAGGAATTCAATTAAAATTGTTTTGAAAATTATTGAATTTTTGTAAAGATTTTACTATTTAAAAAAATAATTGTATTCTTGCGAAGAATTTTACTGTTTATAAAAATAATTGAATTTTTTCGAAATGTGTTAAATTTTTTTTTTTAAATTGAATTATTCCGAGGAATTTAATTAAAATTGTTTTGAAAATTATTAAATTTTTGTAAAGATTTTACTATGAAAAAACAATTGAATTGTTTAAAAGGATTTATTAAAATTTTAGAAAATAATTAAATTCTTTCGTGAAATTTTATTAAAATTTTTGAAAATATGAACAGTAATAATTAATTTTGTACTTAAATAGTGAATCTAGACTGATGTAAAAGTTTTCATTTATGGGAAATTAAAAGAAGTGATTTATATTTTTGGTAAAAAAAACATTCTGTTTGTGTATTCGAAATTGTGTACCCAAAAAAAAAAAATGCAAAAAACAAAAATTGTACACAAATTCGAAAAAAAATTGTACACAGGTTCGAAAAAATACAAAAAAATTAAAAATCTATAGAGATTGGTAAAAAAAGTTTCTAAATTGTCAAGACATTGTTACTGTCAATCTTACAATGACCTAATGACCCAGTAATTCAAGATAGATCTTTCAGTAACTAAAAAGTTCTTTAAGAGGTGATTTATTTTAGTTTTTCTTTTATTTTTTGTTTTTGGTTTTGTTAGCGTGTGGTAGTCGCTAATCAAACCGGTATCGGTTCGAGACCACGGTGTTAATAAGCATGAAAGAAGGATTCAAGAATTTCTTCCTCAAGTATGTAGGATTTTATTTTAAGACCCCACACTACGTGAAGGCATCGAATTGTAGTGCAAAGATCACAAGACGATATACGTGGTCACGATCTTTACGCGGCAATTTTGCCCACAATCTCTTTTTTTATTTTATTTTTTTCTCTCTCTCTCTCTCTTTCTTACTCTCCATCGTCACTCTAATTAACATTCCGTGTATTTATTACACATGGTTTTGCAATTAATCAGGTGAATTCAATTAGCAATTTACCAATTAGTACGCATGCATTCGCACTATTATTTCGCTTTTATAGATATTGTTACTTGTTACTTTGGTTTTGATTTTTTGTCTGTTCTCATTCTTTAAATGTTATTTTTCGAAAAAATACAGAAAACAAATTTTTTTCCCATTTTTTGAATTTAAATTTGAAAACTGCACAGGGAGATAGTGAGAAATAAAATTATTTTGAAAATCGAATTGTTATCATATAGAACTAACAAATTTATTGTTCTTACAATGTTTAAGAAACAACAAATTTGGTAATAACAGAAAAAAAAGTTGTTAGAACATTTAACAATTATTTTTTCTCCGTGTTGAATTTCAACTGATTTTTATAAGAATTTTTGAAAAACCTATCAAGGATTAAAAAATTTAAATAATTTTTCTTAGTTTTATTTAAGAAAGTAATTTATGTATTAATAAGATTCATTCATGACCATACAAAATTTTATGATTCACAAATTTTGTTGACTCAAAATAATTAGTTTTGGTAAATTACTATTTGAATTTAAATAAAGGTTGATTTTTGGAAAAAAATTTATGGGAAAATTGCTGATAATAGCAAATTGCTGTTTTAAGTAACTCACCTCTTTTTAGACTCATTTATAAATTTTTCCAAGACAGGCCTGATCCTCTGCGCGCTCTTTGGTGTAATGTCTAGTTTTTCAAACCTATGGTGAAAATGACGTTTTTGGGTTTTTTTTCTCTCTCTAGCAATTACTATTTTAAGGTATATTTCAAAAAAAGCTGCAGTAAAAAAATGAAAGCTAATTTTTTTTTTTAATAAATAAATGAGAATATTGTAATTTTCAGAAAATAAAACCAATATTAATTTTTCAATTGGTGTTTACGAATGAACATCTTTAGAAAAGTCCGTTCGGGTTTAAAATATTCCAATGTTCCATTCTTAGAATATTCCTATGGAATATCAAAATACTTTCATGGAATATTGAATTATTTCTTTGAAGTATTAAAATATTTTTTGCAGCACTGAAATAATTCTTTTGGAATATCAGAATATTTCCTACGACTATTAAAAATTTCCTTGAAATATTAGAATCTTTTTTGGGAACATTAAAATATTCTTTTGGAATATTATAATATTTTCTTCGAAATATTTGAATTTGTTCTTGGAATATTAAAATATTTCTTTGGAATGTTGAAATATTTGTGAGCTTTAAAATATTCATTGGGATATAAGAATATTTCTTTGAAAGATTAAAATATTTTCTTAGAATATTAAAATATTTCTTTGAAATATCAGAATTTTTTCTTGAAAAAATAAAATATTTTCTTTAGAATATTTAAATTTGTTTTTTGGAAAATTAAAATATTTTCTTTGGAATATTTAAATTTATTTCTTTGAACATTAAAACATTTCTTTGGAATATTAGAATATTTTTAGAATATTTCTTTGGAATTTTAGAATATTTCCTTGGAAGATTAAAATATTTGCTTGGAATATTAAAATATTTCTTCGAAATATCAGAATTTTTTCTTGCAAAAATTAAAATATTTTCTTTGGTATATTAGAAAATTTCCTTAGAATATTAAAATATTTCTTCAAAATTTAATTTTTTCTTGGAAAATTAAAATATTTTCTTTAGAATATTTAAATTTGTTTCTTGGAAAATTAAAATATTTTCTTTGAAATATTTAAATTTATTTCTTTGAACATTAAAACATTTATTTAAAATGTTAGAATGTTTTCAGAATATTTCTATGGAATACTAGATTATTTCCTTGGTAAAATATTTCTTTGAGATATCAGAATTTTTTCTTCGAAAATTAAAATATTTTCTTTAGAATATTTAAATTTGTTTCTTGGAAAATTAAAATATTTTCTTTGGAATATTTAAATTTATTTCTTTGAGGATGAAAATATTTCTTTGAAAAATTAGAATATTTCCTTGGAAAATTAAAATATTTTCCTGGACATTAAAATATTTTCTTTGGAATATTCGAATTGCTTTCTTGGAATATTAAAATATTTCTTTCCAATATTAAAATTTTCTTTGCAATATTGAACTCTTTTTTGGAAACATTAAAATATTTCCTTAGAACATTAAAATATTTCCTTTAATATTAAAGTATTTCTTTGAAATATCAGAATATTTTCTTTGGAATATTTAAATTGGTTTCTTGGAACATTAAAATATTTAAATATTTCTTTGGAATATCAGAATATTTTCTTGGAAAATTAACAACATTTTCTTTGGAATATTCAAATATTTCTTTGGAATGTTGAAATCTTTTTTGAAAATTTAAAAATATTTCTTTGGAATATTCAAATTTTATTCTTTGGAATATTAGGATATTTCCATGAAATATAAAAATATTTTCTTTAATAAATATTGAAATATTATTTCAGTAATAATTCACCAATATGGAATATTCCAAGGTTTTATGAAACAAAAAAAATTCTTTTTCGGTAATTTATTCTATTGTTGTAGTAAAAAAAAACAATATTCTCATGAAACAATTGTTCAAAAGGAGCACTAGAAAGGCATGCATAATTAATTTTCTTTTAATACAGGACATTGACAATGCGCGCATGCGTGTTTTATTTAGTGATCCGGGGTGCACGATGTTGCCAACACGTGACTCGATAGCGTGCAAAATCGCTCTTCATCTATAGGGTGATTGGGAAATGATTTGAGTGCGTGTTTAGTATTTTTTAACCAACGTAATATTACTTTAGTAATTTTTGAATTTTTTAATAAACTACTTGTATTTTTGTATTTTTGTATTTGTGTATTTTTGTATTTGTGTATTTTTCTATTTATATATTTTTTTATTTATTTATTTTTGTATTTTTATATTTATGAATTCATGAATTTATGACTTTATGAATTTATGTATTTATGTATTTATGTATTTATGAATTTATGTATTCATGTATTTTTGTATTTTTTTGTACTTTTTTTGTATTGTAAATTGTGGTCTCTAAATTTAGTGCTTTGTTACTTTTTTACTATTTTTTCAAAATAAAAGTGTTTGAATCCAAGATAAAAGGAGAAAAAAAAGTAAAAGTTGTATTTTGAGATGAGATTTAAAAAAATTTGTTAATGGATACGAGTCTTTCGCGTGTTGGCGACACCGTGCCCAAGCTTGCCAATGCCCTGGCTCAGAGAAGCATGTTAAAATTCTATTTCATAAGTGCTCCTTTTTCATTATTATTATTATTATTTCCGTTCATTTATTGTTCTAATTAAGTTTTCATTTTTTTTTTCATTTTTGAATTATCAATTTTTCGTGAGAGAATAAGAGTAGGAGTAAGAGAGAAAGAGATTCTTGGAGCTATAACCAAAAGCCATTTTCACTTCAAGGAGGAGAGAAAAAAATTGTTTTGGGAGAATTTCTTGAATTATTACAAAACGGCCAATTAGCGTGATTGCATCACGCTAATTATAAATATCACGTATTATAATTATTAGTCACGATGACGGTATTCCTGATACGAGAAAAGAAAGGGACTCTTTTTTCTTCGATATAATTTTAAATAAATTGATTGATTGAAATTTTTTTCTTTTTTTTGAAAATTGTAAATTTTAGTGAAATTGTGTTTAAAAAAAGTGATGAAGGGGTAAAACGTACATAGCTTGCTGCCGACATTTCTCGAATTCAGCAGCCAGGGTAACCAGGGCACCGGGAGTAAAAGAAGCCAGGGCACTGGGAAGTTTAACCAGGGCACTGGGAGGCTTAGTCATGTCATTGCTAAACAATCATCAATAATACTTCAATTAATCGAAACGTTTAACACAATGAATGGCTCTTTGGTAGCATGTCATTTTTTTTGTCTTTCCTTTTTTTTTTAATAAGAAAGAGAATTTTAAGAAAATTTTCAAAAATTTTTCTTCTTTGTGCCAAAATTTGTTTCATTTTATGTACATTTGCTTCTGTACAATTATTCATTTGCTTACTTTTTTCAATTGTTGAATCCTTTTATTTGTTGACTTACTTAATTTATTTAATTAATTTATTATTTAATTTCGTTTTTTCATTTGTGCAAAATTTTCATTTATTTAATTTCTTCATTTCATTAATTTTTATTAAATTAAACTTTGGTTGACCCATTGGATCAGTTTGACCCAAACTTTACACTTCAGTCAATTTTTTTCTAAATAAAGTTAATAATTATGCTTTCTAAATAATAAACTATGATTTTTTAATATTAAATTTAAAAATAGTTAATAAAATCGTTTTTGAAAATTTTAGTGAAGAAAAACAATTAATAAAAATCGTTTACAAATTAGTGATGTACAAAAATTTAAAGAGTATATTTCATCCCTATTATTATTATTATTATTATTATTTTAAAAAAGAATTTTAATTTTTAATAGAATAAAAGGAAAAATTCTTTTAAATTTACAAACAAAATTTACTTTAAATTAATTTTATTAATTCTTAATCTGGGTCGAAATGACTGAGTGTGTTAATAAAAGTTTAAAAAAATATTTTTATAAATAAATTTGAATGAATTTTTTTGTCTTTTTCTTCGTTGGCTGACAATAATTTAAAATAGAGCACTTTCGGGGTCTTTTAATAAATTATTTCCAAAAACAGAAATAAAACAAAAAAATGAAATGCTGCTAAAGATCCATCCAGTATTGATTAAACTGGAATTAGTTTTAAGGGGTACTTAATAATAATTTATAGCAAGAATTCTCTAAAAGTTAAAATTAATTTCGTTATGGTAAAAAATTCTGAACTTTTCGTTATTTTTAATTTTTCTTCTTTAATACACAATAATTAAAGTTTTTTCTTTACTTAAAAATTGAAATTGAAATTAAAATTAAAATTAAAATTTATTTTATATTTATTTTCCACTTTAGATGGAAAATTAAATTAATAACAAAAATTTGCTAAAATTGAAATATAATTGATCTAAAAGTACTAATTTTTGAAACTAATATTTTATATCGGAAAAATTCTAAATTTCTCATGCTATTTTTAGTTGACTGACACTAATCAGCTTTTATTATATTTTTTTAGGTGTTTTTTTTTTTCTTAATTTAAATTTTGATTTTTGTTTTTTTTTCTTTTTAAAAAAACTCACCTGCATATTGCACTCTGACTGTAGGCTGGACCCTCTGTGGCGCTGAGAGCCTGACCTACTTGTGTTTGCGTTAATCCTAAAGTGAGTCTTTCTTGTTTAAATCTTTTGGCGAAATCTCTCATATCGTCCAAATCAACACCATCAATAATGTTACTGGTCGCTTCATTAATTGTTGGTTGATCTGTAAATAAAATTGAAAGATTTTTATATTAATAATTTTATAACAAAAATCAAAAATAAAAAAAAATTCCTTTTTTTAATTAAAAATGTTCTAAAATAAAAAATTAGAGATACAATTTAATTCAAAAGACTAAATTACATTATAATATTAAATTATGTTATTAAATAAAGTTGTAATTTTATTCTAAGACGAAAAGAAGAAAAAAATTCAAAGACAAAATCCTAAAATACAAAATTCGATGATATAAATGTTCAGATAAAAAAGAACGCTCATAATTTTCAATGTAGACTAACACGTTTTCAAGTAATAAACTAGCAAAGTCCTTCGATCATTAATTTCCAATCAAACTTATCAGTAAAATCATACACGATATCTCAAACAGTTATAAGCAAAATTTGTAATAATTAATTTAAAGTTTCAAAGCATACTTATCAATTTCAATAATTTTCAAGTAGTTTCTCTATAGTAATTAATCTGAATTGCTTGTAAACTCGTAATTTTTCAAGAAAACAAAATATTCCATAAATATTCCTGTAGATATTAATTTCTAAACTATTTAATTATTGAAATTCAAGAAATAAATTTTCTGATAACATTAAAAAATTACAAAAACTGAAAGAAAAAGTTAGAAGATTGAAAATAGTAATTATTACTGTTCTGTGAATTTGAAGAAGAGGAAATATTCCTGGAATATCTATTTCAAGAATGTTATTTTTAAAGAAATAATACAGAAATATTCGACGAATAAGAAGTTTTTTAAAAATAGTTTTCTTCAATATCTTATAACTTTCCAATCTAATTAACATATTTAATTGTTTAATTAACGAGTAATGCACTCAATCCAAAAACAAGTAAACGTTAAGAAGATAGAAAGCATTATCGTGTTTATCAAGTAAAGAGGAATAAAACTATCCGATAAGTCTAATTAGAGTATAGTAGATAAATTGATAAGAGGAAATTAAATCGAAATCGTAATTATCAAAAATATATTTTCTCCAATATTTGGTAGTTTTATACGAATGTAAATGTCAAACTGCAATTAAATTTATAATTTTAATAATGAGATAACAAGATTTTTAAAAAGAAGAAAGAAAATTTTAAATATAAAATAAAATTATTGTTGGAATTTTTTGCAAGAACAAACTTAAGGAAACTTAAGAAAATATTACTTCAGTTTTTCACTTGAGAATATTACCCAACTTTTTTGGAATTGCACCCGAGAAATTATCTACAATATTTTTTGAAATTTACCCCAAAAATTCCCTGATTTTTTTCCCCGAGAAATTCCTTTCAATATTTCTTGAAATATTCCAATAAACTCTCTACAATATTTCGTGGAATTTTCCAAAAATTCCTTTTGTAAGATTTCTCGAAATTTCTTAAGAAATTCTCAGCAAAACATCCCGAAAAATTCCCTGCAATATTTCCCGGAATATCCTAATAAAAATCGCTGGAATTTTTCCCGAAAAATTTCGAGCAATATTACCTGGAATATTCCAAGAAACTCTTTAGAATATTTCCCGGAATTTCCCAAGAAATTTTCAGCAAAATTCCCTGCAATACTTCCCGGAATATTTCAAAAAAACTCTCAATAATTTTCCCCTACAAAATAATAATAATAATATTTCCTAAAATTCTCTACAATATTTCTTGGAATATCTCAAGAAATTTTTAGCAATATATCCACAAAAAACTCCTTTCAATGTTTCCCGAAATTTCCTAAAAAAATCCCTGGAACTTTTCTCGTGAAATTTCGTGCAATATTTTTGACAAAATTTCCCTGCAATATTTGCAGGAATATCCCAAGAAAATCTCTACAATATTTCCCGAAATTTTCTAAGAAATTCCATACAATATTTCCCGAGAAATTATCTATAATATTTCCCTGAATATTTCACGAAATTCCCTGCAATATTTCCCGAAAAATTGTCTATAACATTTCCTGGAATTTTCCAAGAAAAGCTCTACCATATTTATCAGAATTTCCTAAGAAATTCTCTGCAATATTTCCTGAGAAATTTCCTATAACTTTTTTTCGAATTTCCCAAAAGAATCTCAGTAATATTATCCAAAAAAACCACTGCAATATTTCCCGAGAAATTTTCTACAATTTTAACCGGAATTTCTCAAAAAATTCTTAGCAAAATTTCCCGAAAAATTCCATGTAATATTTTCCAAATTTTACCAAGAAATTCTCTATTTTATTTCCTGTAATTTCCTGAAAGTTTCCCTAAGAATACTTTCTGTACTCTTTCTTAACAATATACTTCCGAAAATTCACGAAAAATATTGTTTTTAATTCCTCGTTACTAATTTCACGAAAATTTCACGAAAATTGTAAAAATTTAAAATATAATAATGTTTTAAAAAATATTATTAATATTAGAAATATAAAATATTTAAAAAATGTAAAAAATATGAAAGTTATAAAAGATCACAAAAAATTGAAAAGTATACAAAAAATGAGCTTTTCGATGAAATAAAGAAAATGTAAAAAATAGAATAATAAAAGAGAATAAAATAAACGTTCACATACTAGGCGAGTCATTAAGAAGATCATCATCCTCGTCCTTGGAACTATGCAAACTGCTTGGTGATGCTTTAACAACAGTCATCGTTATTTCGCCATTGTTGTTGGCCAGTCTATTGAGGGCGGAAGCAGCGGATACCACGGCACCGTTAAGAGGCGACGATTGCTCCTGTCTATCTCTGTGGTGTTTTTCCGTCGACTGAAAACAACATCGTTTCAAAAATGATGAGTGGTGTATAATCTCAGAAAATTATACCACGGGACGCGACGACGACAAACCTACACTTTCCAACTTTCAATTATGCACACTTAATAATATGAGAAACTGAGTCGCGAAGGGTACTTTACAGTCTAATTAGCGAAACAAGTACCCGCGAATACTTTCTTAACTAGATTGCCCGTCACAATTATTTCCTCGACGTTTATTTCATTTCACTTCATTTTCGTACGCGAAAATTACAAATTGCATCATATTTTTACTTTTCCAAAATTAGCATTTAAATTCTTTTTCCTTATTAAGAAAATTTCTGCCCTTATTACCATTTTTCTTTTTTAATTTTTTTTTATTTTCTCATTTCTTTTTCCATTCATGGAAAAAAGCTACTTTTCACTAGATTTCCACTTCAAAATTGGTATTTTCATTATTTTTATTAAAAGTATTGGAATTATTTCAAAAGTTTTAACGCAATTATCTTGATAAATAACAAAATTCTTCACTGAAATTCAATTTTTTTTAGGAATTTTAATAAACTTCTTTGCAAAGATCCGTTATTTTCATAAATAAACATATTCATCACAAGAATTCAATTATTTTCAAAAGTAATAAAATTCTTTGAAGAAATTCAATTATTTTCAAAAATATTAACGAATATTTCATCAAGAATTCAATTATCTTTATAAAATAGCAAAAATTTTCACCAAAAATGCAATTATTTTCAAAAATTTAAATAAAATTTTTTTTGAAATTCAATTATTTTGATAAATATAAAAATTTATCACAATAATTCAATTATTTTCGAAACTAATAAAATTCTTTGAAGAAATTAAATTATTTTTAAAAATTTTAACGAATATCTCGTTAAGAATTCAATTATCTTAATAAAATAACAAAAATTTTAGCCAAAAATTCAATTATTTTCAAAAATTTTTTTAAAATTCTTTGCAAAATTCAATTATTTTCATAAATAACAATATTCATTACAAGAATTCAATTATTTTCGAAACTAATGAAATTCTTTGAAGAAATTCAATTACTTAAAAAAAATTTTAACGAATATCTCGTCAAGAATTCAATTATCTTTATAATATAGAAAAAATTTTCGCCGAAAATGCAATTATTTTCAAAAATTTGAATAAACTTCTTTGCAAAATTTCAATTATTTTTAAATGTTTTTCGCAATTCAATAGATTTTCAATATTCACTAATTTCATAAAATTTATCAAAAAATTTAATTATTGAAAAAAAAATTTTTGATACAATTCAACGCAAACATTCAATTATTCTTATAAATAATAAAAATTCATTTTAGAATTCAATTAATTTTATTGCAGAAAAATGTAATTATTCTTAAAAATTTTATTAGAATTCGTCAAAAAAATTCAATTATTTTCAAAAATTTTAATAAAATTCTTAGCAAAATTTCAATTATTTAAAAATTTGTTTATAAAAATCATGAGAATTCAATTTTCAGAAACATTGAATTATTCAATAAATTATCTATTTTTGTATTTGAATAATTGAATTCTCGTAGAAGTATTAAATAAAAATTGATTAAAAAATAAATTTTAGTAAAAATTTTAGATAATAATTGAATATTAAAAGCATCAATAGTATGGATTTTTATAAATAAATTAATTTTGAAAAGGTTTCAATCTAAAATCTTTGAAAATCTGAAATTTTCATACTTTTAACTAACATTTCTGTAGAATTAATTTTTTGAAAAAGTTTAATTGAATTTTTTTTTGAAAAATTTTTATTCCTATGGGAAAATAATAATGATTAAATATTTATTTTAAATAAAACAAATTTTTAAATTTAAGAAATTCGTAAATAAATGTAATAAAAAATTATTTGAGGATATAATTTTTTTAGAGTGAATCAGAATATTCTTTAGGGTCAGAGAAAATTACAGAAAAACAAAATTAAATTTTTGTGTCAACCTTGAGTAAAAAAAATATAATTTTATTTAGTATATTTTAATAATAATACCTAATAATAACAATAATAGAAAGTATAATAATGTTATAATAGAAATCAGTAAAAAAATAACTGATTCTCAGTAGTGAAAAAATAATTTACGATTAACAGTAAAAAAATAATAATAATAACAATTATCTTTCATTATTTTCAATGTTAATAATAATAAAAAATTATTTTTTCGATAATTAAACAAAAATTTAGTACTTTATTTAACTTTTTTGTTTTTTTCTAAACGCAGTAGCTATTGCAAAATCTTAATAGACCTTTTACAGTAGAATTCGAATATAAAGAAAAAAATTACGAATGTAAAGGTAAATATTTTTTTTTTTTAAATGTTAAAAATATCGTACAGTCTGTACTCATTACTCTTTTTTTTTCTCTCTTTCTTAAAAGAAGAGGGGGGGGGGACTTTCTTTACGAGGAGTGAATAAAAATGAATTATTTAAATTTAAACAAAATTTAATAAAAATCTTTTCTTAAATGCAATTATTTTCATAATTTACTATATAAATACTTTTCTTAAAATCAACTATTTTTAAAAATTTTAATAAAATTCTTTAAGTTTTCAATTATTTTTGAAAATTGTGATAGAATTCCTTAATTAAATAAATTTCAGTAAAATTTTAATTAAATTCAATTCAATTATTAAATAAATTATTTATTTTTTTTTACTTACATAATTGAATTCTCTTAGAATTTTGTAATAAAAATTGAGTTAAAAATGAATTTCGGTTAAAATTTTAGATAATAAATTAATACTAAAAGCATTATAGCATGGATTTTCAAAAAATAATTGAATTTTGAAAAGGTTTCAAATTAAAGTCTTTAAAAATTAGAATTTTTAATACTTTCAACATTTTTTTGAGTATGTCTAATCATTTTTAGAGTTGATCAGAATATTCTTTAGGGTGAGGGAAAAAGTAAAAAAAAATTTTAAGATACCAAAAAATAAACAATGGTATTCTCTCCCTAATTGAAAAAAACGAAAAAAAATTCAATCTAGAAAACTCATTTTCGAATAAAACGAACGTTTCGGTAATAAAACATTTTTGGGGTACTTTATAACTCCAATTAAAGTTCCTTTCTCAAAAATTCAGGAATTTGAAGGTAACTTGGCCTAATTTTTATAATTGAAAAGCGACGGTTTTGTCATTTTTTTCGACGATAATTTATTTATTTATTTATTTATTCAAATTGATAGTGATTGGATTTTAAGTAAATAAGTAGAAACTTACCCCGTAGTGGTTCAAATGAGTAGAGTGCCGATGCGCATGTTGAGGTGAAGTTGTGAGGAGTGGTTGCGACGCAGCTTGAGCAGCTTGAGCGGCTTGAGCAGCCTGAGCTTGAGCTTGAACGGCTTGTGCCTTAACTTGAGCCTGAGCTTGGGCTTGAACGGCCTGAGCAGCTTGCAACAATTGTTGCGGCATCAACAATTGCTGACTCGCTGTACTATTGCCGAGAAGATGCGGCAGCGCTGCCGGATTCAATGCCAAACTCGTCGCCAAACTTGGACTTGGTACTGGCACAAAAAAATTAAAATCATATATAAAACCATAAATATATTTTCTACTATAGTATAAAAAAAAGGCACACTGAGAAAACGATTCATTTGATTTAAACATATTTTGTTTAAATCAAACTTAAAATATCTTTGCTATACAGTACAAAATATTTAAGTTTAATTAAAACATATTTTTTGGTTCATTTAAAGAAATAATATGTTTAATTCAAACATAAGTTATGGTTGATTTTAAATTATTTATAATCAACTTTTAAATTTGAATTAAAGATAAAATTTTTAAACATAATTTTTGTTTAAAACAAAATAGAAAATATAATTAAATTAAACATAATTATAATTTATAAATAATAAAACTCATTGCAGAATTTCAATTATTTTTAATTCAATTTTAAACTTTTAAAATTTTTTTTCTTTGAAATAATTCTTAAAAATGTTATTAAAATCCGTCAAAAGAATTCAGTTATTTAATATTTATAGATAAAATTCTTTATAAGAATTAAATTTCAAGAAACATACCATTATTCAATAAATTGTTATTTTTTTATTTAAATAATTGAATTCTAGTAGAATTTTTCAATAAACATTGATTTAAAAATGGATTTCAGTTAAAATTTTAGATTATAATTGAATTTTAAAAGCATTAGAGGGTAAATTTTTAGAAATAATTGAATTTTTTTATTTATTTATTTATTTATTTAAGTAATAAACGGGCTTACAAAAAATAAATGCCCTTTCGTACAGATGTACTAGTAATTATTGAAATATAAGAACAACAATAGTGCTAGGCTGCAGCATCATAATCATATGTTTATAAAAATATGCTCTATATTTGTGATCGTAGTTGAGATAATTGAAGCACGTAATACACACGAAGTAGCAATCAACACCCCCCCTCCACGCAAACTATCACTAGAATTTAAACATCTATCTGAGCGAAAAACATTATAATTCTGAAAACCGAGTTCCTTTGTATTAAAACTTTCATTTAACCACGTCTCAGTAAAAACAATAATATCATAATCAATGAAAGGAATACATTGTGTTAACTGTGTAAGTTTGGTTCTTACGCCCCTGACGTTTTGATAGTAGATTGAGAGATCAGATGGTAGATGGAGAGAAGTACCGGTTGCGCGCGCATCTTGCTCACATGAACTTGGAGTGGTTATGTTTAAGTATCGGTGCTCGTATGCTGGTTGTGAACATTTGTTGTCATCACTGTTGTTATGGTCGGAATCTCGTTCCGATAAACAATCCTCAGGTTTTGTTCTCCATTTTTGCGTCGATTTTCTAATTGCTCCTTCAATACTTTCAGTTCCTCTAGTTGCTGTTGTGTCTTGTCTCGCCGAATCCAGAGATTCTCTATCTCCAATGGAGAGTCTGTCATTTTCTTTGCTGCAACAAATGCTTGAAACAGAAGATTGGCATGTGCTTCCGATTGACAGACAATCCGCAGTGGTCTCAACCTTTGCTGGTTCTGTGGAGGTTTACCAATTCTATAAGTCTTTATATTCTCAAGGGAAGCCGGTTCAATTTTTAAGGATAATAATATTTGTGCAACTACATGTTTGTCAGAGTCGGCATTGCGATTAATGTTCTCGCCAAGTCCAAATAAAATAAAATTATTTTTACGTTTAAATCGCTCAGAGACTTCAACAATACACTTTTGCATTATTGTACCAGTGTCAACATTTTGACTACCAATTAAACTAGTTACAGTACCTTCTATGCTGTTGACTCTGTCAGTTAAATCCTCGACCCTTGTTTCATTAATAGTAATTCTAGTAATAGCACCCTCCAGTTTTGAGGTTACACCATCTAATTTATTTGATAATAATGATAATTGCGGACTAAGAGCAGCAGTCATATTAGTAACAATATTTTTTATATCCATTGGTGTTAAAGTATAGTCAGCAGACACATTCGAGCCAGCAGAAGTAGATTGCAATTGTAAGTCAGCAATAGGAGAGGGAGAGCGTGGTCTGCAACACTTTGTGAAGGAATCGTCATCAAGAACTGCAGTTTGAGCTGCACAAGCCGGATGATACAGGGTACCACAGCCCGGGCACGGTGTCGATTCTCTTATAACTCTTTTTCTGCATCCTGGGAAGGTCTTACCAACAGTCAATGACATTGTTGATACCTAACCTCACTTTCACTTAACACCCAAAAATCCTCACAGAATTACCAAACACACAATATTAACCGAGGTAAACAACTTTAACAAGTTCAACAGTGCAAACAGTTCATGCACACAACTATTTACAACTGCTCCATTCAAAATACAACAGTTAATAATGGAAATTGAACGAGAGCGCACAAAACACGTGTTGCTAGCAGCTAATAGCAGACGAATTGATATATATGAAAGGTTTCATATATAAAATCTTTAAAAATTTTAATTTTTCATATTTCTAACTAACAATTCTGTGTAGTTAATTTTTTTTGAGAAACTTTAACTGCGGACTTTTTTTTAAAATTATTTAATGTTTTTATTTTCGAATATTATATTTAATTGAAGAATTTATGAATAATTGAAATTTTGTAAAATTGAATATTGTAAATAAATAAATTTGAAAATTCTTTAAAGAAACTATTTGAAAAATTAATAAAAATAATAGATTTATAGAAAATGTTTAGTTAAAAACAAGAACAAAAAATTCAATTTCGTAAAAGTTACAAATTATTACAAAAATTCAATTATTTTCAAGAGTAGTAATATTCTTCGCAAAAATTAAATATTGTTCAAAATTAATAAAATTCTTCTTAGGGATTCAATTATTTTCACTAATAATAAAACACATTGCAGAATTTTAATTATTTTTAATACAATTTTAATCGAATTTCTCGAAAAATTTAATTATTCTTAAAAATTTTATTAAAATTCGATGAATATCTCATCAAAAATTCAATTATCTTTATAAATAGCATAATTTTTGGCCAAAAATTCAATTATTTTCAAGATTTAAATAAAATTCTTTACAAAATTTCAATTATTTTCAAAAGTTTTTCGTAATTCAATGGTTTTGAATATTTTACTATTTTCATAAAATTTATCAAAAAATTTAATTATTGAAAAAAATGTTTGATACAATTTTACGAAAACGTTCAATTATCATTATAAATAATAGAATTTTATTTATGAATTCATTTATTTTCACGGGAGAATTTTAAATATTTTTAATATTTAAAAATAAATTCCTCGAAAAATGCAATTATTTTTTAAAATTTTATTAAATTTTGACGATAGAATTCAAATTTAAGAACGATTCAATTATTTAATAAATAATATAATTCGTTGCAACGATTCAATTATTTTCATAAATAACTTTTAATTTGTCGCAGAAAATCAATTATTTGCAAATTTTTTTTTAAATTCTCGTCAAGAATTAAATTATCTTTATGAATCGATAGCGAAATTCTTCTCAAGAATAAAATTATTGTCAAAAATGGTAATAAACTTCTTGTCAAAATTTCAATTATTTAAACAAAATTTAATAAAATTCTTCCCATGAATTCAATTATTTTCATAAATTATTATTTAAATTCTTCTTAGGCATTCAAGTATTTTTAAAAATTTTCATAAAATTCTTCAAAAAGTTTTTAATTATTTTCGAAAATCGTTATACAATTTTTTAATTTAATAAATTTCAGTAAAATTTTAATTAAATTCCTTTAAAGAAATTATTGAATAAATGATTTATTTGCATTTTATTTGTATTTAAATAATTGAATTCTCGTAGAATTTTCCAATAAAAATTGATTTAAAAATGAATTTCAGTTAAAATTTGAAATAATAATGGAATATTAAAAGCAATAGAGCGTGAATTTTTAAAAATAATTGAATTTTGAAATTAATTTTTTTGAAAAAGTTTAATTGTGGATTTTTTTAATATTATTTGAAGTTTTTCATTTTCTAATATTTATTTAATTGAAGAATTTACAAATAATTGAAATTTCGTAAAATTGAATATTGTAAACAAATGGATTTGAAAATTGTCAAAGAACTTTTTCAAAAATTATTAAAAATGAATATAGATAATCGATTTAAAGAAGAATTTTAGTTAAAAATTCTTGTAAATAATAATTGAATTGTAAATGATTTTATCACTCGGTCATCTTCAATTATTATAAAACATGAAGAAATCGATCACTCCGTGTCGAATCACTCCGAACTCGGAGTTATCGATATCTTTATGTTTTATAGTTATGAAAAATAAAAAAAATAAATAGTTTTAGAATATTTATTATTTATTTAGAATATTTAAAGAAATTGTTTTAATAAATAAATTAATAAATAAAAAACAGTAACTCACCATTACTAGTCGGTGTATTCATCAAATTTTGAGGTTGCGCAATTGATTGTAAATTCGCCAATGTCGTGGAGACAACTTGTCCATTACTGAGGGGAAAGTCAACCATTTGATTATTCACATGATTAACGGGCGCTGCAATTATTGTCTGTGTGGAAATGCCTGTTAAAAAAAAGAAATATTATTAGAAAAAAAAATTAATTTTTTTTTTGTTTTGCTAAATTCTATTTGTAAGTGTCTTGCCTTCCGTGACGGACTATTGATTTCAAAATGGTTTTGGTAAACTTATCAGAGTCTCATAGAAGGATTATTAGCCAAAACCCATAGGGCATAGGTATAGGCTGGGGCGTATAGTTCGTAAACTATTATCGTCATCTTAATATCGGGTACAGGTACTGGGCTTCGAGAAGGACGCCTAATCATACTTAGAATAGTTTCAGGATTACCTCCAGCTCCGCTAATCTGATAATCCTATACACTCGCTTAATATGATTACTGATCCTTAGAAGGCACCTGTGTTATATACGTATATCTGCGTTAAGTAAATCCAGTTTTCTCAACAACTCGTAAACTCTCGCCAAAATCTCATTAGAAGAAACATTAGCAAAACGATTTTCTTATTTTTTTTTTTTTTTTTTTTTTGAAGGGGGAGGTAATGTTTATGTTTATTTTCTCTTGTTATACGTGACGACCTTGGGATTCGAGTCCGCTGTGAGAAAACTGCGATTTTATTTATTTTTCTTTCGATTTTTCTTTATTTATTTCAATTTTATTGTTATTGGCATTAGTTTATTTTTTAACGATTGTAAAAATTAATTATTAATTATAAATTTGTTATTTCTTATTAATTGATTAAATTAAATTGTAATTGTCATATTGAATAAAATATAATTAATAATAAAATAAAAAATTAATAATTAATAATAAAATGTAAAATAATTATTACTACCTTTACAACAAAATTTATTCTTGTAATATTTTATTAATATTTTATTTTCTAAGAAACTTTCAGGAAAGTGTATCCTCTTTGTTTGGGTCCTTTCGTACGATTGTATAAACTATTCAAAATTCTTTTGAGGATTATATTATTATTTGTTTGACCCTCAGCGTCTCCTTCAATATACAATGGCTTAGATATCAAACTTTTGAAATAATAGAACCAAAATTAATTTCAGGAAAAAAGAAAAATCAATAATTTAACATTTTAAATTTCTCCAGAATTTTATTATTTTTTTTTTTATTTCTATTAGGTATTTAATTTTACAATATATTTTATTAGATTCAATATATATTAAGGGTATTTGATCCATTATGATGTCACGTGTTTTCAAACACGTGTTTTGAACAAACTGACGTCATAATATATTCAAAATTTTCACTATTTAAATTAAATATTAATTAAATTAAAATAAGAAATGATTAGCTATGATTGGCGTCATTTTAGGGACCATGATTAAAATTTAGAGATTAGCAACAGTGGCGCTCGTTGCGGTTAAAATTAAAAAATTTTCCTACATTACAACATCTATATGACGATTTTAATTTATTTGAATTTACTTTCTTTATTTACTTTTTTATTTTTTTTAATTTACTAAATTATAATATAAAAAAATAAGCTAAAAGAAACTAAAATAAAAATTATTAAATAATTTTAAATAATTAAATTGTAAATTAAATTTTTTAATAATTAAATGAGTGACTAGATGTTATAATAATTATGTTAAAAAAAGGAAACTTACGTTCAGGTTATCTTCAACTTCAACAAAAATCCGTAATGTTGAATACAGTATTTTTAATCCACTTTAAAAAGTAGAATACTTGAATATTAAAAATTTCAAATTCATAAATAATCGGGAACAAAAAAAAAACACGAGAATGAGTTGCACAAAAAGTAACACTGAACAGAATCTCGACCATGTGGTCGAGGGACACCATTTTGGAAAAGTTGACGCCATCTTTATCTGCTTTTTAAAATTGAGCAGAGCTGACGACCCTGGTGGAGAAATTATTAACTTCGATTTTTTTTTCTAATAGTAACTGTAATTTTATCCAAAAAATCATCTAATTTATGACAGTGATTTACAAATAAAATTTTACGTTTGTTAAAATGTACATTAAATTCGATAACATGTGAATTAGTTCGAAACTTTTTCGCAAAGTGCGACACCACGTGGCAAATAAAAATTGTTGGTTCCTGAATTTACCGCAAAGAACGCCACTGTTGCTGCGCTTTAAATTTTGATGATTATGTTCTTTAACCCTCGGAGAACACATGGGGTCATTTTGACCCCAAGATTTTTTGCGAAAAGCTTTTTATCTATTGTTTAATATTTTTTTTATAAGGATTTTAAAGTACACAGACTTATTTTACAGAGTTTAAACTATATTTGCAAAAAATCCTTTGGTTAAGCAGATGAACAGTTCAAAATTGGTTATGAGCATTGAAAAATGACCTAAAAAAGAGGTGTGTTCTCCGAAGGTTAAAGTGGTTATTATAGTTTACTCCAAAGGAATTAATTATTATTTCAAGAAAAATAAATATTCTAATTGATATCAAAACAAAAAGTAGCAACAAAAATAAAAAAACTGGTGCCATGTTTTATTCATGGTTCCTATTTAAGTTTCTTAAAATTATAAATTACTGTTTTTTCTGTCTATAACTGTGATTTTTTAATGATCTCTGGATTAAATTTGTGGCTCTTTTTCCTTTCGCTTTTGTCTCATTTTGATATCCTTAGAAAAACTGTGATACTGAACAAATGTCTATTATCAAAAATACCAATTACTCGATTACTATTCCATTCAATATTTATTTAAAATGCTTTAAATTTTAACATTCGACCTCTGCAGAAATAGATCAAAGATCTGAAATTCAGACCAGGATGATGCAAATTATTCTTTCCCCCTAGTGTACAAATTAGAAAGGTGGCAACAACCTGACGTTCAAGATGAAACTTGGAACCATCTCTATATAGTGACCAACACTTAACATCATTCAGAATAAAACTTTTGATTTCAAGAGTTAGGAGAAGCCATTCAATCGACGAAGCGTGTTACTTGTGAAGCTTATAATTCCGTCGGTCCATGAGGACTGCTTGAAGTACATGCAAAAAGGGGGGGGGGGCAGCAGCCCACCTATATTTCGTGATAACTTGAATCCATTTAACCGGAATCCTAGAAGTTGTTGTCTATTGACAGAGAATGGAAGTCAGCAACTTGGTTAGAAACGAAGTTAGCGAGGAAGAACCACAATCAATATAATAGCGGAGGCAAAATTCGCTGTGTTCGAGGCTAGCCCAGGGTTAGCTGGACAAGTGTTAGTAATGGTCGAGAGGGTTTGTGAAGGACAGAGAAGATAGGGTGGATGGAAGTTGGAGGAGGATGACGTGATGGTAGTGGTGGTGGTCGAGAGTCGAGAAAGGGGGATGGTAGTGAGACGTTAATTATACATTGAAATTAGTTGCAGAGTTTGCCCTGTGCTTGCCGAGCTAGTCTAGGGGGCCACTAAGTATAGAAGGACGGCACCGGTTTTGGTCCCGCACTGGATGGTCCAAGCTCTGGTCAGAGATAGCCGATATTATAACGGCGCAAACTCGATTGTGTAATATTATGCAACCTCCCCCCCATCCCCTTTTCCCTTCTTCATCTACCCCCCCCTCCTCCCCCCAAAGTGTGATTAGGACTTTATCCCAACTCATACCATCAAATCCCAACTTACGTTGGTTGGGTGACGACGGATTGAAAAGGATGGCATTAGAGTCTCACCCTGAAGGCATTGGAAACAAAATCGTGTTCATTATATTTTCAATCGCTCGTCTTGCTTTGTAAATAAGTTGTTAACTTTTCTCAATGAATGTAAAAATTATTAAAAAAAAAAAAAAAATTCTCCACGAAACATTTCTGCAATTTAGAAAAACAGGACAATTATTTTTCTAAACTCTAAGAAATAAAGAAGTGTAAAAATATTTGATATTTTATTTTATAATTTTATAAAAAAAAACCTAAAATCCTGTAAAAGATCTGCGGGAGGGAAATGATTGAAAAAAATTAAATCTTACCTTGAGAAGTTTGTATAAGAAGTTGGGCATGCTGAACGTTCTGAATGAATTGGCCAGACAATAAAATTAACGTCGGCACTGTAACCGGTTGAGGTTGAGAGAGAAGTTGAGGAAGTGTCGCCAAGGGGGCCGAACTTGGGGGTGGCAAAAGGTGAGACGCCACCGTTGTACTTGACGGAGTTGGTAATGTTCCAGCTTAAAGACAAATGCAAAAATAAATAATTAGTAAAAATCTTCCACTTTCGATGAAAAGATTTGACTTAATTTAAATATTTCTATTCAGTTCATTTGGTTATCAAAAATATAGAAGTAGATTTATAATTAAATATAGAATTTAATATAAAACTGAATATAGAATTAAATATGAAATTGATTATAGAATTAAATAGAGAATTAACTACAGAAATAAATATAGAATATGATGTAGAACTAAATATAGAATTAAATATATAATATAATGTAGAACGAAATATAGAATTAAATATAGAATATAATGCAGTACTAAATATAATATTAAATACAGAATTGAATATAGTATTAACTATAGAATTAAATGTAGAATTTGATTTAGAATTAAGAATAGAATTAAATATAAAATTGAATATAGAATATAAGACGATCCAGTAAATAAAATAACATGAAATCAAATATAAGTACAAATACAAAATGTATTAAATACATCACAAAATACAAAATCAAGTCCACAAAATCTAAACTCAAAACTAGATTACAGTCTACAAATGTGAAATAATATTTATAAATAAAAGTAATTCACTTGCAATTTGCAAACAAATTTTATTAGTTGAAAATAGAATTATTTGCTAATTTTAAAATGACAGCTTTCAAATAAAATTGTAACTGTCGAGTTGATAAATTTTCTTGAGACGAAAAAAACGAATTAGAAGAACGAATTTCTCGTTAAATATTTAAGTAAATCTTTCAGAGACTTTGACTAAATGAGAAGATGTGCTAAAAATAATCCTCTATCTATAAAGAAAAGTGTATTATAAACTATTTAAATAATTAACTCACCCGACGAACTGACAGTGAGATTCAATGGAGTATTAATTAATTGATTATTTGTTAATCTTGCCATTCCTTGAAGACCAGCCGCCAATGATGCGACTTGAGGTAAATTTTGTAAATTAACCAAATTTTGGAAATTTTGCAATGTCGCCATGTCAGCCACTGTAATTACAAAGATTATTTTTTTTACTCGATAATTTCAAAGCAAATAAAAAATTTTAATAAATAAAAAATATTTTGAAATAAAAAAATTCAAAACCAAATGACAATTTAAAAAAGAAAAAAAATAAAATGACCCACAAGTTTTGAAGGTTCAAATAAATGAAATATTTTTTTTTAAAATATTTTTATGAATTACTAATTGCAATAAAAATTAAAAATTTAAATTTTACATTTAGAAAAGTTTAAAAATAAATTTCTTCTTTAGGATCATTATCAATAATAATAAAGTAAATGTTCAGGTAATCTGTTCGCAGTTAATTGTCGTTTGCTATTTTGTTTCTTAAATTTTTTATAATTTTTCTTTTCAAATATTTTCAATTTTAAAACTAATGTATTGAAAATCATCGAATTGTAGCAAAGAATTTTTTAAAAAAATTTGATAATAACAGAATTTCTTCAAAGAATTTTATTATTTAGGAAAATAACTGAATTCTCCCGAAGAATTTTATTAAAATTTTTAAAAATACTAATTAAATTCTTTTGAAGATTTTTTTTGAATTTTTTTTAAACTACTGGAGTTTCTTTAATAATTTTAATTGAAAATTTTGAAAGCAATTGAATTTTATGAAGAAGAATTTTATTAAAATTTTATTGAAAATAATTGAATTTTTGTGGAGAATTTTACTATTTATTTAAAAATAATTGAATTGTTCCGAAGAATTTATTAAAAATTTTAGAAAATAAATGAATTTTATGTTAATATTTGAAAATTTAAATTTTTTCGAGGAAAATAAAAATTATTGAGTTCCTGCAAAGAATTTTAGCATTTATAAAAATAGTTGAATTATTTCGAAGAAATTATTAAAATTTTAGGAAATAATTGAAATTTATGGAAATATTTCAAAATATTTGAATTCATGCGAGGAATTCAATTAAAATTGTTTTGAAAATAATTGAATTTCTGCAAAGAATTTTGACTATTTATAAAATTAATTGAATTCTTGCGAAGAATTTTAATATTTATAAAAATAATTGAATTCTTACGAATAATTTTACTATTTATAAATATAATTGAATTTTTTCGGAGGATTCATTAAAATTTTAGAAAAAAAAGTATTTTTTCAAAATGTGTTAAAAATTTTTTTAAAAATTAAATTCTTCCTAAGAATTCAAATAAAATTGTTGTGAAAATAATTGAATTTTTGTAAAGATTTTACTATTTAAAAAAAGTAATTGAATTGTTTAGAAGGATTTATTAAAATTTTAGAAAATAATTCATTTTTTTCGTGAAATTTTATTAAAATTTTTGAAAATATGAACAGTAATAACTAATTTTGTACTGAATAAGTGAATTTTTTAAATTTTGATTATGAAATTATTTTAAAAATTTATAGTTGAAAATAAAGAATTTTTTAATTTGCATAATAATAATAAATTGAATGTCTCGTTTCGCGCGTAACAATTTGTTAGTAAAATAAATAAATAAAATAAATATTTAAAAAATTTTATTGAACTGATTAGTTATTATTTGTAAATTTTAACACTAAAGTTACTATTTTTATTTTAAAAAAGTTTATTAATTATAATAAATAATATTAATTCGTATTATTATTGTTATTATTACAAGTCAATTTTAATTAAAGTTACTAGTTTTATTAAAAAAATAAAAAAATAAATTTACTAATGATTAATTATTAAAAATTATTAATAATTATTAATATTAATTAGCATTATTGTTACGATTAGTACTATTTTTACTACTTAATTTTAATATTAAAGTTACTAATTATATTTAAAAAATAAAAAAGATTTTACTTGTGCCATTTAGATGAGCTTGAGCCGCACGTTTCACATGTTCCAAATTTTCAGGGGAAGGACTTCGTCGTCTTTTTCGAGACTTTAGTGACTCCAAAATCATCTGATGTTCATGTAAAGTGACGGATGCTGGTTCCGGACTTCCATTGCTACTTCTGTCACTCTCCTGAAAAAAATAGAAAAAAGAAAAAAATTATTTAACATGAAAAACTTAATGTACGGATTATTTTTTATTTTCTAATACATTAATTCAATGTAAATTTAAATTAATCAAATTTGCCTAAAATTCATTAATTTTCATTAATTTACATTAATTAACATAAAACTAATTTAAGTTAACTTTTTATTTTCTACCAAAATATTTTTAATCCCATCAATTAAAAATTCGTATTTTCATTTCAAAAAAAAAAAAAAAAAAAAAATCGTATTGATTCCAAAGAAATCTGGACTTTGAAATAAATTTCACATATAATCAGAAATAAATTGAATTTTATTTTCTTTAATTTACGTCTAAATGGTTGAAGAGAGCGCGGAAGCATTAACATGAGTGCGTGTTTAACGTGTGTCGCTTTTTATTGCGGTATCGAATTTAACGCTGAAAATTGATTAATATTCATTTACGACACTCGTTGAATTGTCGGATTTTGAAATGCGAAAAGGCAAAAGTGGAATGAGCATTGATAGAAATTTAATAATTTTTACCAACAAAAATTCACATAGAAATTGCATTTTATCTCGTCAAGATGGAAGCAAAAAAAAAAGGGAACACGTTTCAATGAATTGCATATTTTATCCTTTTTATCGACGCTTTTGCCCTGATTTAATTGGAAAATAAGGTGCTCTTTTTTTGCAAAAATTTCATCATTCAAATTTGATTTTACAGAATATATATATTTTTTTTAAAACTCAATCTATTTTTTAATACTCGATTATATTTTCTTCTGTTAAATATATTCGACTTGGAAAAATTTTGTTTTAATAATAATGAAAGAAATAAAATATTCAAATCAAATGGAAAATATTTGAGAGTATTTTTTTTTTGATTTTTAAATAATAGAAAAGTATTAAAAATGTAAAATTACATTTTTTATCAGTTATGTGGGATATTTTTTTCGTTGAAGAAAATAATAATAAATTAATAACGAGAAAAATGGAACGAACTGTGGGTGTTTGTAAAAATGTAGGCGACAACGAAAAAAAAATGGTTGTTCTCTTTTTTTTGGAAGTTGGGGATGGTTGATTAAAATTGAAGGGCGATTTTTCGGGGAAATCGCAGGACATTTGGGGATTACAAGAGTGGTGGCGCTTTGTCGTATAAAAAATAGGTAAAAAGCGCGGTACAAACGACAATCGCCTCCATCGGAGAAATGCGGTTCAATTTTTTTTCACGTAAATTCGTAAATACGCCCGGTAGGCAGACTATGCATTCACCCATATACATACGGTATAGGAACCGCAGTCAAGGGGATTAACGAAACACGCGAGCCTCGGTGATTTTGCTTATAAAAGTGCCGAGGATAATGTGTTATCTCTCCACTCGAGAACACGTCAATAATTTCACTCGCAAAAAAAAGCACGAAAAAAAAGAACAAAAAAAAAAAAAAGAAGAATTGGTATTTTTTTTCTAATAACACTTGCAGATGATGTTTGGGGAAAATTTTCTAGAACAGTATATAATTGAAGAAATTATCGTCTTGAGTTTTTGTAATTTTTTGCCTGTTCTTTATTACTTTACTTAAATACCGTTGTAGAAAAAATTACAATTTGAAAATTTTTTTGTAAAACTAATTTTTACTCAGAGACATTGACAGACTTTTCTCTAGTATTTTAACAGTAGTAAAAGCAAAATTTATCTAGCCGATATTTTTAATAAAAAAAAATTTTTGTGACAGTAGAAACAATATTTTTAGGCAGTCAATGTTAGAAAATAACGTAATTTTTCAATAAGTAGTAAAAGAAAGTATAAGTGAGACAGTTTTTTCAGTAGTATAAGTCAATTATTCACGTAATTTTTTAAAAGTTGTAAAAAAAGGAGAAGGCAAGCAATTTTTTCAGTAGTTTAAGTCAACTGGGGACATAATTCTTTGATATGAGTAGTAAAAGAAAATTTATGTCAGACGATTTTCTATCAGTAGTGTAAATAAATTATTCACAATATTTTTTACAAGTAGTAAAAAATAAGGGTCAGACAATTATTTTTCAGTAGTATAACTCAATATTTTTCTACAAGTAGTAAAAGAAAGTATAAGCCAAACAATTTTTTCAATAGTATGAATTAACTATGGACATAATTTTTAATAAGTAGTAAAAGAAAATATAAGTCTGACAATTTTCTGTCAGAAGTATAACTGAAACTAAAATTCGAGATTATTGTAAATATTTTGTGCTAGTGGAAAAAGTAAATTTTACTCAGACGGTATCTTATAATTTCCTTTAATTTTCGAAATTAGTAGTAAAAGTTCATTTCATCGAAAAATTTTACTTAATGTTATTGCAAGTAATTTAAACTTACCTTGTGAATCAGTAGTAAAAGACTGTTTTAGTCAGACAGATTCCCGAAGCTTTTAAAGTAAAATCATTGAAATTTGATAGTAGTAGCAAAAGTTATTTTTAGCCAAACGCAATTTTTCTGCAGGTAATTATAAATTTCCAGTAGTAAAAGTTAGTATTAGTCAGACACTACCTTAAAATTTGCTTTAAATTTCCAATCGCAGTAGTAGAGGTGAATTTTATTTAGAAAAGTCAATCAAGTTTCTTCTACTGATTCACAAGTAGACACAAAGTCCACTTTGCAGTAGAAAAGTCTATATTTAGTAGAAAAAGTCAATTTCAGTCAGACAGGAAAATTTTTCAATTCCTGTAAATTCCGTCAGTCTCAGTAGAAAACAGTAAATTTAGTCAGCCGAAACAGTAATTTCGCAATTAGATAACATTTTTTTTAACTTTCAGGTAAGTAAATTTTGTTATTTTAAGTAGTAAATACCGTTTTTCGTCAGACACATTTTTTTTCTATTTCTGACAATAATTTCTTTTTAAATAACTAATTTTTCAAGAACTATCATTAAATTATGACTTATAAATTATTTAATGAATAGTTTTTACAATTTTCATAAATACTAGATTGATAGAAGAATTTTAGTTAAAAATACTAAAAAAAAATTGAATTTTGAAAAAGTTACAAACGCTTCCTAAAATTCAATTATTTTTAAAAGTTGTAAAAATTCTTCGCAGAATTTTAATTATGTTCAAAAAGTAAAAAAAAAATTCTTGTCAAAATTTCAATTTTCTTCAAAAATAATAAAATTCTTCATCGAAATTCAATTACTTTTTAAAAATTTTAATAAGATTCTTGGCAATATTTCACAGGAATTCAATTATTTATAAAATTTTTAATAAATTTATTCGAAATAATTCAATTATTTTCATAAGTAATAAAATTTTCACAGGAATTCAATTATTTAAAAAATGCAAAATTTCATAAAATTTTTCGAAAAATATCAATTATTTAAAAATATTTTTATAAAATTCGTCGCAAGAATTCAATTATTTAAAAAGTTTTAACAAAGTTTTTTTCAAGAATTCAATTATTTTTATAAATAATAAAATTCTTCGCAGAAATTCATTTTTAAAAAATTCTTCGAAACAATTCAACTATTTTTATAAATACTAAAATTCTTTGCAGGAATTAAATTATTTTTAATCTAATTTAAAATAAAATTACACGAAAGAATTCAATTATTTTCAAAAACTTCCATAAATTCAATTTCAACAAGAATTTAAAATTTTCGAAAAGTAATTCAATTATTCTCAATATATTTTTAAAAAATTCTATTTAAAATTTCTATTTAAAATTTCTATTTAAAATTTTTAAATATATTCGTCAAAAAATGGAAAGAATTCAATTATTTTCAAAAAATAATCAAATTCTTGTGATGAATTCAATTATTTTGAATACTTAATTTTAATAAAATTCTTTTAAGAAATTCAATTATTTTCGAAACAACTTTCATTGAATTTCTCGAAAAAATTTAATTATTTTCAAATATTTCTATAAAATTCTTCATAACAATTTAAATTATTTCTTAAAATTTTAATAAATTCTCGAAACATTTCAATTAGTTTTATAAATAGTAAAATTCTTCGCAATAATTTAATTACTTTTATAAATAGTAAAATTCTTTGCAGCAGAAATTCAATTCTTTTCAAAACAATTTTAATAGACTTCCTCGAAAGAATTTAAATTTTCAAATATTAACATAAAATTCATTTATTTTCTAAAATTTTTAATAAATTCTTCGGAACAATTCAATTATTTTTAAATTAATAGTAAAGAATTCAATTATTTAAAAAATTTTAACAAAGTTCTTTTCAAGAATTGAATTATTTTTAAAAATAATAAAATTCTTCGCAAAAATTCAATTATGTTCAAAAATAAAAAAAAATCTTCTCAAAATTTTAAGCATCTTTATAAATAATAAAATTCTTTGGAAAATTTCAATTATATTTATAAATAATGAAACACATCGCAGGATTTTAATTATTTTTTTTACAATATTTTAATCGAATTCCTCGAAAAATGTAATTATTCTTAAAAATTTTATTAAAATTTGTCAAAAGAATTCAATTATTTAAAAATTTGTTCATAAAATTCTTTAGGAGAATTCAATTTTAACAAACATTCAATTATTCAATAAATTATTTATTTTTTAATTTAAAAAATTTAATTCTTCTAGAATTTTCTAATAAAAATTGATTTAAAATTGAATTACCAAATCTCCGAGTCGAAGACTAATTTTAATTCCTACAGAAAAATAATAATGATTAAATATTTATTTGAAAAAGAAGTTACTGATGTTTTCGAATAATTTTACTTTTAGAGAAATTTGTAAATAAATGTAATAGAAATTTTTTTGAGTATCTAATAATTTTTAGAGTGAATCAGAATATTCTTAGGCTCAAGGAAAAAGTAAAAATTTTGTCTAGAAATCAGGGAAAAGTCAGGAAAAAAGAAAATTAAATTTTTGTGGCAACCCTGAATAAAAATATGATGACAAAGCTAAAATAGGTAAAAACGAAAAAAAAGAGTGAAAGAGAGACTGCAAATGAAGAAGAAAGAGCACCAATAAGAATTACAAAAAAAAGAAGAACACTACGCAATGTAAAATA